GCAGTATGTCGCACTGAGCTTCCGCTTTCTGAATTTCCTTTTTATTGTTTTCTAATGCTTCTTTTTCGGTTACCCAACCTGTGGGAGGAGGCATTATTCTTGGAGGTGATCCATGCTTTTCAGAGCGAGGTACTCTCTTTTTCCTCTTAGGCGTCCCCTACAACACGTAATAATCGAAAGAATGCCAGATGGTTCCCCCAACAAGTCTATTTCACGAACTCCCTCTTGTTGTAGTTGCTTCAATAGAGTATTGTGCGATACTCCTCTCTTTCTTCTTTCTGCTTCCACATCAATTTCTTCTTCAATGTGTGTCATACCATCATTTTCTTCACCATTGTAGGCTCCTCTAGAAGTTTGGCCTTCTTCACATTCCAGCACACATGCTTCTTCCTCGTTACACCCCCTTTCTTCTTCTTCTTTCTCTTTGTTCTTGAACTCATTGACTAGTAAATAGTTATTAGCCATGACAGGAGGTAACGTATCGAACTGAATAGTAAGGGGCTGATCTGGATCTTCTCCATCCCTTCTGCTCACTCAAACTTTGATCTCCCAAAAGAATTCTCTGACAATTCTTCCATCGACTCACCTGTACCGGTCTCCTCACTGTCTTCGAGAAATTTTGATTGGCCACCTCGAGTAATTTAGGCCCCTTAGGACGTGGCACTCCATGTTGTTGCCTCATCATTCATCCATAATTCCGTTGAAAACGCCTTTGTTGGGTTCTAGTCATCTTGTTGAAGGGTATCACCCTTCCTGCATTATACTAGAACGAATGCCATACATTTGGTTGATGAGGTTGAAGCCTGAATGTTCTCCTATTATTTATTGACCTGAACTGCCTCTCAAAAGGCGGTTTCCTATAGAATGATGTACCTTGCCCTCTACTAGGCTGAGCGTTTGGGAAAAAGATAGGGCGATGGTGATGCTGCCATATCCCTGATTTCTCTATGTTTGCACTCACTTCTCTTTTACATCTTGCACACAGGACGTCTTCATCCTTTTTAGGCTCCTTCCCTTTGATACATTCAAAGACATTGGGGTGTGGCCCAGGGTCCTCTTCTCCGTCATCTATAACCAACTTGAATTTTGGCAACTTGTTTTCGAAACCAGTCGTCACTATGTTCATCCCAAGTGGCTGTGGAAAATGGTTTTCATCCACTGCCATCTTCTTCTTATCCTCGAACGTAATTCGTCCTGATTCAATGGTGTCCTGTAACACATGGCGAAAAATCAAACAGTTGTTAGTTAAATGCGACCATGCATTATGCCACTTACAATATTTTGTACCCTTGATTTGTTCAGAGCTTGGCAACTTATGTTTATCGCTCAACTTTATTATTTTATCCTTATACAATTTATCAAATATAAGGTCAACTTTGGTTACATCGAACGAGAACGTTCTAACCTTTTTGTTTTCATCTTTTATAGGCTCATCCTTGCCCAACGATTTAGGCTTAGCCATTATAGGACAAGCATACGCGTCTCCTTTGATTAATTCGGCCAAACACATTTCGATTTGATCGTAATATTCGTCATTAATGGTATGAACATCAAAATTTGAGTCTCTATAAGAAGTCCCCTTGCTAGAATTTTTCATTTACTCTTCTTCTATTATTAATCGCTCATACTTAATCACATTTGCGCTCAATTGGAAAAGATCAGGAAATTCCCTGTCTTGAATTTTTTTTTTAATCAAAACTTAGACAACTTTGAGCAATTTTGACAAACTCCTTTTCGAGCGAAGGTACGAAACATTTACTTCTTGCTGTCTTGAACCTTTGAAGGAAATCTTCTGCCCATTCGTTCGGCATTTGACGTAGATTCGTCGAATCGGCCAAAGTAACTTCAGACTCAGTCTTATAAAGTTGAGCATGGAACAATTGCTCCAATTGTTGCCATGTTTGAATAGAGTTCACTGGCAAATTGATGAACCAAGAGAAAGCTATTCCTGTTAATGAACTAGGGAACAACCTCATTTTATGGTAGTCGGTTACTTCACCACTTTGCAGTGTGAATCGTCCTATGTGTTCTAGAGTAGACACCTCTCCTAAATTGGTAAATAATGAAAATTCTGGCACTTTATGTCCTCTAGGCCATGGATATGCTTGGTCTACCCAATCAGGGTATGGCTTTGTGTAAGTCGGCCTAATGACAGGACGTACCCCAAACACCATTTGATCCTGTACTATTTCCATAATTTGATTTCTCAACATGACGTTGAGGTCATATGGAACTCTTACAGGTTGGTTGGTCGGTTGATTTGCCTGAGGCCTGATGTTTGGTCCCTGGTTGGCAACAAAGTTGCCATAATTTGGGTCATTATTACCATTAGCCTGAATATTTATTTCATCATTGACACGTGGGGTATTCTGTCCATTATTTAGGACATTATCTCTTATATTTAGGTTACCCCCAAGTTAGATGTACCATTACCACTATTCTGATTTGGCATTACACCATCCCCCTGATTTGAAATAGGTGGACCAAAAGGCGGTTCTATCCCCTGATTTGGACTTAGGACTGGAGAATTATGTCCCACGATTGTCCTAGTTTGAAAGTGATTTGCAATAGGCACAACTGGTTGACAGATTTGGCCTATTAACTTATTCATTATTTCATTTAATGTATTCAGTTGTTTGGCCATGTTGTCACAATATGCATTCCCATTCTAGGTAAATCTTTCCATATTATGAACATTTCATAGATTTACCTGTTCAACGACATCTTGTGTGAGTTATCCAAGCAGTGCACGCATAGTTCGAGGACTCAACTCTGCCATTGATTCGTAACGACTGTTACTGCTTTGATTCTGTCCATCTGTTCGTGGAGAG